TTCCGTCCCCTTCGCCTCTCCTTCTCAATCCCTCCCTCCTCCTCCTCCTACTCCTCCTCTGTCTCCTCCTCCTGCTCCTCATCCTGCTCCTCCTCTCTTCTCCCTCCTCCCTTCTCCCTTCTGCTCCTTCTGCCTCCCCTGTGCCCCTTCTCCGCCCTCCTCTCCACTCCTTCGTGCTCTCCCGCTCCTCCTCTCATCCACGTCGTCCTCCTCTCCCTGCGTTTTCTGTGGAGGGGAAGGACATTGAGCATGGAGGAGGGGGTGGAGCAGGAGGAGGGGGAGGAGGAGGAGGACCCTTGTAAACCCAAGACTCATCAATGATGTTGCAGTAAGCCCTCTCTCCAAGCTCCCTCTTCATAGGCTTCTGCAAGGATTCATTTTCACTGAATGAAGTGCTCCGCCGGAAAACAACCGTTGGAAAGTCATGGACTGTGCCAGAACACCATTCCTGGAACTTTGTTACTCTGCGTGTTGACGATCTGGACTCGTGCCAGAACGCCATCCCGCGGACTCCAACGCCACGAATCGACGTAATTGGTGCGCCCTGGCAGTCCGACATCGTTCCCAAACCCGATTGTTGGGACGCTGACCCCGAGAGTCCTTGACATTGTTGTAAGCTCTTGCGCGAGTGTGCGCCCCGCGAAGGCGAGCGAGAGCCACATCTTGAAAAGGAGCCACGCTCCATCCGTGAAGCTCTTGCACTTCTTTATCACGAATGCGCTCTGCGCTAAGGCGAGAGTCACATTGTGAAAACCACCCGCCCTCCGTCCGTTACACTCGTGTGCAGCGTTTTGACACGGATGCGCGCGGCGCTAAGGCGAGAGCCACATTGTGAAAACAACCGGTCCTCCATGTGTGAATCTCTGGCGAGTTTTTTGTTAAGACGGTGACATTTTGAGAGCGACCCGCCCTCCATCTGTGCAAGTGTTGAAACTCCCAAGCTCCAGGATCATGGTTGGTGATGAAGTGTCCGGCGAGGAGCAGAAGGAGGAGGAGGAGCAGGAGGAGAAGGAGGAGCAGGAGGAGGAGGAGGAGCAGGAGGAGGAGGAGGAGGAGGAGTTGTTCATAGGGAAAAAGGCATGGAGAAGGCGCGGGGAGCATGCGGCAGGAGGAGCAGGAGGCACGGGAGGCAGGAGGAGGAAGAGGAGGGGGAGGACGAGGGGACGAGGAGAAGGAGGAAGAGGAGAAGGAGGAGGGGGAGTGGGAGGAGTAGGAGGAGGTTCAGACGCTACGATGTTTATCCAGATCCGCCCAACGTAATTAAGACAATGGAGGAGAAGGAGAAGGTCCGTAGCCATTTGGCTCAAGGCTGAATCCCCGAGTCGTGGGGGCTTCAATCTTGGGTTTGTGTCGCATGCGACAAACATCGATGGGAGGCTCCCAGGCGCATTACACTTACGTCGGATAATTTGTGTTCATTGCATCTATTGCCTCTTGTGCCGCTACCCCTTTTCCATCATGCGTGTGCCGGTGGCAGTGTGAGAACTACTACCGCCATGCTGAAGCGTATCACAGATGGTGCTTGTGTGGGCAAGAAAGTCACCCGCATTAGGTAGATTCTTCGAATGGAAAAGGGAAGGGGAACAATACAAGGCAAGTAAGCAGAACATGGCCACTCCAGAGCGAGGACTCCCAGGAGAGCAGCAACTGCGCCAAGCATACCAATCCCGACAAGAGCAACGAGTGCTCCACAAGGAAGCCCCACAAGGATCACGAACAGACGCTATACGACATGAGCCGCGCCGCAGTGCAAAAGTTGCTGGCAAAGATACCGAGGGCAAAATCGTCGGAGGCAGAGCCACCCTCAGAATGGACTCCACCGCCGAACACGGAGGACCTGCTCGAAGTTAGCAAGTCCAGGGAAAACGTTTTCGATAAGCTCAATGCCCTTGCGATCGTTGCCTACAGAGGCAACCAGGACAGGGTCATTATAAGGTTTGCGACAAGATTGTCCCGGCCATGTGCGCAGTCTCGAAATAAAGCCATCCAGCCAGCATATCCAGAATGCCCACAACAGGAAGTCTCAACTAGAGAACATGGTCACCGCGAACAAAAAGAAGCAGGCAGGACGGACTCATACAGCAGCACGAAGAGCTAGAGGTCGAAACCGGGACGATCAACCAGCACATCGCGTTCATCGAGCATGGTTTCGCGGGCGAGAAGAGCATGCGAGGTGTCAGTCTGAAACAGAGAACGAAGCCCGCAGCAGCGGCAGGAGCGTCTGCGGCGGCCGTTGCCGTTCCCTTTGCCCAAATGGGAGTATCCGCAGCCCCCCAGCATGGACGTACATCGCCCCCGCCGCTCTCCTATGCGCCTTAGACACAGGCCGCAGCAGCGTAGCCCATGCAATTACTTACCTAGAGCATGCGCTTCATATGCAGCAGTCCATGCAAGCCGTGCGAGCTCAGCCCAAATCAATGGTAATGCCGATTGTATCATGAACTCGGTGTTTTTTTGGTATTTCCAAAGGACGGAGGAAATCATATCCGAGTTGGAGCCAGGCGTCGGCAGCCATCCACAATATGATCGCAGCGACCCCGAAAGTTTTCCCCGAGGCAAGACCGCAAGGCAGACCACCATAACCGCCGAGGTGAGACGCCGTCGGACCAGAAGCAGAAGCAGCACTGCAACGAGCGGCGCATGCACCAGCGCCTGGGACACCGACTCCGACGCAGATGTGGGGATTGCCAGAAAAGCCATACGTCGATCCGATCTCTCAGGCCCCGCCCATGGACATGCAAAAGGGGCTCCTGGCTGGCCCCAGGCAGATTGACCAGCCAGTGGGCGCCAACGGAGAGAACCCGCCCAAAAAGTTCCAGCGGCTCGATGGAGAAGAGGGATCGGTATACCGAGCATGGTTGCAACATGGCGAATTTCTCTCAGGCTTCAATCTGTTCCTATGACCATGAGAGGCCTGTGAATCGTGTTTAGTGTTCCAGCTAGTAGGGGAAATACCCTGACTCTTGACTAAGCGGTCCTGCCCAGCTGTGCGGTTTTCAAGATAAGAGCCCCGCAGGGAATATTGTACTCTCTCTAGATCGTCTGGCGCCCGTTTCAACAGGCCTGGAAGGACGCGGGGACATCTCCCAGCCCAGAGCCGATGGAGGCGATTCGCTTGAGCAGTTCCGTGTGCAGCGACCCGAGAAATATCTCTTGGCTTCCTCCAGTTCTTTAACTCCCTTGCCGAAGAAGGACGACGTCGACGGAGAAGTGCATGGCCCCAAGGGAAGATGGCGGTCCGGAAGCACATTTCTGCAGCAACGGATGGAGACCCAGGGAATGGTTGCACCGTTCGGTTCCATATATGTCCGTATGCTGGCTTGCATGTTCATACCATTCGGTGCGTGTATCCCCTACGCCGTCTACCCTCCTCCCCAGAGCTGTTCTGGCTCGTGAGTTTTGGCCCCGAGCCAGGCTCCCCTCTCCCGCGTCGCGGTGGTGCGCACGCCGCGGCGCGAGGGTCGCAGTGCGCCGTGGCATCCGCGCGGCGCCGCCGCGCGGCCTGTCGGCGGGCCTGAGCCACTGCACGCTGCGTGCGCTCGGTGCGCCGAGCACGAGCGCACTCCGGGCCAGGAGATGGGTGCTGCTCGCGGGGGCGGCGTCGTCGCCTCGGTCGGGGAGCTGCTCGACGACGGCCAGGGCCTGGGGCTCGAGGTCGTCGAGGACGACGACGAGGCTGCGGCCGCCGTGGAGGAGCTGGAGCCGTCGCCTGGCGAGCGAATTGTCATCGAGCCGAACTCGTTCTACTTGAGTGCAGGCTTCAGCGACGGTGGGGAGCAGCAGTGCGATTTCGTGTGGCTGGCGCTGCGGGTCGTAGCCGCTTCCGAGCAGTTCCTGGGTGCGAGGGGTGATGATCGACTACGACGGCGACGGCGACGACGTCACCTGGCGTGCGTCCCGTTCCTCGTTGCGGGTCTCCTGTGCCTGCTTGTCCTCCAGATGCCCGCCCTCCTCGTCCTCTTCCTTCTCCTCCGTCTCCTCGTCCTCTTCCTTCTCCTCCTTCTCCTCTCCTCTCCTCCTCCTCTCATTGTCTTGTTGTTCCTCCTCCCCCTCCTCCTTCAATGCATCGCTTCTCCCCGCTCCTCTGTTCCCTTGCCTCGCCCTCTTCCTCGCCCACGTCATCCACCGTCTTCTCCCTACCCGCCGCCTCGCCCCTCCTCCTTCTCTTCCTCCTCCTTCTCCTCCCTCTCCTCGTCCTCCTCCTCCTTCTCGTCCTCCTCCTCTTCCTCCTCCTCATCCTCCCCCTTTTTCTCCTCCTCCTCCTCCTCATCCTCCTCCTCCTCCTCCTCCTCCCACCCTCCTCTCATCCGCTCTTTCTTCTTCTTATTCGTCTTCTCCTTCTTGTTGTGATTCTATGTGCTATTATCAGTATTGACATTATTATTATTATTATTATCATTATTATTATTATTTATTATTATTATTGTTGTTATCATTATTATCATTATTATTATTATTATTCGTATTATCATAGTTATTATTGTTATTATTGTTATTATTAATATTAGCATTGTTATTATTATTGTTCATTTATGTATGTATTTGTTTATGGTCATATACGTATTCTTCTTATTATTATCATTATTATATTTAGTTGTAGTACTACTTTTATTATTGCTACTTCTATTATTTCTTGAATTAGTATGATTACTAGCATTTTTAGTATTATTATTATTATTACTATTATTCGTATTATTATTATTATCATTATTATTATTTCTTATTATTGGTGTTATCATTCTTCTTCTTCTTCCTTCTCTTCCTCTTCTTCCTCTTCTTCTTCTTCTTCTTCTCATTCGGAGCGTGCTGAGGCTTCCTTCCTTTGCGGCCCTTACTCTGCTCCTCTTGCTTCTTCCTCCCCCTCGCCCCCGGCAGTGCTCCCCCTTCCCCCTCGCCCCCATCTTCCTCCCCAGCCCCCCGCGGCGGCCCTTCCGGATCAGGGCCCCGCGGGCGGGCCTCCTCCCGCGGGCCCCGCGCACGGCGCCTATGCGCCCGGGGGCATGGAGGTGCTCCGCGCGCCCTCGCTGGCCGCCCTCGCGTGCGTGTCGGTCGTCCTCTGCGCGCTGTGGGACCGGACCCTCGCGGGCATGCTGCGGGGGGCCGTGGCAGGCGGGCGCCCCTGGGGCTCCGCCTCCTCCTCCTCCTCCTCCTCCTCCTCCTCCTCCTCCTCCGCCTCCTCCTCCTCCTCCTCCTCCTCCTTTCTCCTCCTCGTCCTCCCTCCTCTTCGTCGGTCCTGCCTCCGTCTTCCCCCTCCCGTCTGTCCTCCCTGCGCCTGCTCCTGGTCCTCCTGGTCCTGCTCTCGACGCGGGAAAGGGTGCCGATGCGTACCGCTGGTTGCTCTCGCCTCGTTTTTGCCTTGTGGGGCCTCCTGGGATTGCCTCGTTGCCACCGTTGGATTCGGTTCGAAATTTGGTCGGCACCCACCCCGGGAGAAGTCTGGACGTAGCGGTATCGGTATTTTTTTGGTTTCCCCATGATAGGTATTGGTTATCGTGCTTGTCTGCCTCTTCGTGTGAGATTTTCTTGTTTTGTTTGTCTTCTTCCTGCAAGGCCATCCGCCCGAAAGCGCTTCCGATTCTGCTGCAGCACCAGTTGTTACCTCGGCTCTAAGCCTCGTGTTGTTCTGTCGATACCCTTCTCTCCCCTCTCGGTGCACTCTCTGACGAGGAGGAGGATGAGGATGAGAAGGTGACGGTGGCGGTTGTAGAGTGGAGGGAGGTCAGGCTGAGTGCACTCGCGTTATATCTGACATCCGATGCTCCCGCCAATCCTTTCCCATTGAGCTGGGTTTTCTCTGTCATGCGCTGTCAGAAAAGGTGAACTGTGCACACTGGAGGAGGATGATGAGGATGAGGAGGAGGACGAGGAGGAGGAGGAGGAGGAGGAGGAGGAGGAGGAGCAGTAGGCAGAGGTGGCGTATGAGCAAGATGATGCGCAGGATGAAGATTGTGAGGATGAGTAATGAGGAGGACAAGGATGAACAGTAGGACCAGGAGTAGGATCAGCGGGATGAGCATGAGGACTAGCCAAGGCGGAGGAGGGGTTAGGAGTGAGGCGACAACGACGGGGTATGACTCGAATCCCGAATTTGAGGCCCGTGCTGAGGCGAGAGCGCCATTCTAAACGACAGGAGCAGAGCGTCGTTTAGATCATCAAACCAGGACGACGCTGCAGCGGGAACGCAGGTTTCCCCAAAGCAGTGCTTGCTCTTAGGGGTTCTTGCTTCGATTACCCTCCTCCTGCTGCTGCTCCTCCTCCTCCTCGCTCCTCCTCCTCCTCCTCCTCCTCCTCCTCCTCCTCCTCCTCCTCGCTCCTCCTCGCTCCTCCTCCTCGCGCCTCCTCGCTCCTCCTCGCTCCTCCTGGCTAGGAGTAGGAGGGGGAGGAGGAGGAGCGCCCGTGCTGACTGCTGGGCGCTCGTGGGTGCCCCGAGAGCGCCGCTCGTGGGTCCGCCGTGGTTTCGCCGCCGCCTCGCGCCCGGTGCCGCCCTCCTGGGCGCTCGTTTGGCTTCCCCTGCCGTGGGCGGGTCCTCCGAGGTTTCGCCGCATTCGCGCCCACCTCATCCTCCTCCCCTCCCTCCTCCCTCCTCCTCCTCCTCCTCCTCCTCCTCCTCCTCCTCCTCCTCCTCCTCCTCCTCCTCCTCCTCCTCCTCCTCCTCCTCCTCCTCCCCCTCCGAGGTTTCGCCGCGTTCGCGCCCACCGTGGGCGCCCCGCGCTCCGGGTGGGTAACATAGCTTGCACAAAAGATCTGCACGCCCGAAATGGGTACTGAAAGAATGGGTACGATGCCCAACAGCAGCTCTTGTTCATTCTGAACAGGACTCGCTGTCCACGCCGCCGCGGCCTGTGTCCATTTGAGACAGGAGGTCGCCCGCCCAACAGCGGCCGCTGTCAGTTTGGGACAACATTTGCTGTTGGGCATTGTACCAATTTTTTCGGTGCCCATTTCGGGCGTCCCAAAAAGACCTCGCACCGCATAGCTTACACCGCATAGCTGGCACAGCATAGCTGCTCGCACCATAGAGGCCGCACCGCGCAGCTCACAAGCCATAGCTCACACCACGTAGCTTACTTCACACAGTTCACCCTACATAGCATTGCAGGACACAGCGTGCACCAAAGACATTACTCCGCGTAGGCCTCACTCCCGCAGTGCAGTCACTCACTGTTGGGGGTACATGCTGGCCAATCATGGAAGCTGGAAAACGTGCCGACGGAAAGCGCGGTGACAGATCACCCTCTGAAGCCCTGCGCGGGAGGGGGAGGGGCCAGGGGGAAGCGGAGAAGGAACGAGGGGCTGGGAGGACCTCCCGTTCTCCTCCTCGTTCCTCCTCCTCGTTCCTCCTCCTGGTTCCTCCTCCTCCTACTCCTCATCCTCCTCCCCCTCCTCCCTCCTCCTCCTCCTCCTGCTCCTCCTCCTCCTCCCTCTTCTCTTCCTCCTCCTCCTCCTCCTCCTCCTCCTCCTCCTCCTCCTCCTCCTCCTCCCCCTCCTCCCCCTCCCACTTCTCCCCCTCGGCCCCAGGCCGCGCCGTGACCGAGCCCCCGGAGGGCGCCGCCGGGGACCGCCCCCGGGGCCGCGCGGCGGGGGAGGCCGGCGAGGCTGCCGCCGCCGAGGCCGCGGGCCGAACAACGGGCGAGGAGGCTGCCAGCGCGGGCGCGCCGCGCGTGCCCGAGGATGAGGAGCGGCGCGGCCTCCTCGTCGGGCGCGCCTCGTCTCGGGCCCTCCTCTCTCGCCCTCCGTCTCGGCCTCGCCCTCCGCCCTCTCCCCTGCTGCTCTTCTCCTCCTCCGTTCCTTCCCCTCGTACAGAGATTCCTCCCTGTCGCAGCCCGAGGCCAGTTTTTTGGGGGCGGGCCGGGCGTTTCGCCCGAGACATCTTCACCATTGATGACTCTGAAGCTTAAAGAGTGGCAGCACTTTCTCAGAAGGAGGGCGGGTCGTTTTCAAAATGTGGTTCTCGCCCTAGCGCCGCGCACATTCGTTTTAACAAACATGCAAGAATTACACGGATTGAGGGCGAGGCGTTTTCAAACTGTGGTTCTCGCCTGAGCGCAGCGCACATTCGTCTTAACAGAAACGCAAGATTTTCACGGATTGAGGACGAGTCGATTTCAAACTGTGGTTCTCGCCTGAGCGCCGCGCACATTCGTTTTAAAACATTGCAAGGGTTTCGCGGATTGAGGGCGAGTGGTTTTCAACATGTAGCTCTCGCCTTAGCGCCGCGCACATTCGTCTTAGATAATTGCAAGGGCTTCACATCTTGAGGGCGAGCGGTTTTCAAAATGTAGCTCTCGCCTGAGCGCGCGCACATTCGTTTTAAACAATTGCAGGAGTTTCACATATTGAGGACGACTCTTTTTCAAAATGTAGCTCTCGCCTTAGCGCCGCACGCATTCGTCTTATAACATTTCAGGAGTTTCACGGGTTCCCATTTATCAGCGTACCAGACATGGTGTTTCGGAAGGATCCAGATTTATGAGGGTGCACAAGTCATTCGGATTCGCGGCGTTGAAGTCACAGGAATTGCGTTCTGGCGTGATCGCCATGATGCAACAGTCAGGTTGATCCGTGGCGTTGGAATCCCGAGAGCAACTTTTTGGCATGTTTCAGGGTCTTCAAACGGTTTTTCTTCCAACGAGGCAGTTCCCCCAGTAAGAGTTCACCGTTGTAGGGGCCTATGAAGAGGGAGCTTGGAGGGAGGGTTTATTCCAACATCGTTGATGCCTCTGGGGTTTGCACTGGTCCTCCTCCTCCTCCTCCTCCTCCTCCTCCTCCTCCCTCCTCCTCCTCCCCCTCCTCCTCCTCCTCCTCCTCCTCCTCCTCCTCCTCCTCCTCCTCCTCCTCCTCCTCCTCCTCCTCCCGCGCCCTCGTCCCGCGCCCCCGCCGCCCGCTGCGCCTCCTCCCTCTGCGACCGCCTGCGAGCCCTGGCCCTTCGGGCCCCGCCGCCGCGGGGGTCGGTGTCGGACACCCCCGCTGGAGTTCGTCCGGCTGCAGGCACCCGGACATCTGACCTGCAGGTGTCGGGTTCGCGTGTGGTTGCTTACTCCTCTTCGTCTTCATCATCCTCCTTCTCCTTCCCTTCTCCTTGTCCTTGGCATCTTTGGCCTCCTCGTCGTCGTCGTCGTCGTCCTCCTCCCCCCCCCTCCCCCCTCCTCCTCCTCCTCGTCGTCCTCCTCCTCCTCGTCCTCCTCCTTTTCCTCCTCCTCCTCCTCCTCCTCCTCCACCTCCTCCTCCTCCTCCTCGTTCTCCTCGTTCTCCTCCTCCTCCTCCTCCTCCTCCTCCTCCTCCTCCCGCTCCTGGTCCTGCTCCTCTGTACTCCAGGCCCAGGTTTTCTCAGCTAGGCCGAGAAGGCGGCTCGGGGTCCTTAATTCATTCCTTGGCTCGCTCTGCGACTGCTCCTGCTCCTCCTGCTCCTCCTCCTCGCATGCCACCAACCACTGCGCGGGCCCAGCGCGGGCTGCCCTACGCAGGTTGCGGCGTTCTTCCCCGAGCACTGCTGATCCTTCTGGCTGCCTGCGGCAGCCGTCGGTGCCGACGCCTGGGAAGCCACTGGCGTCCCTGCTCCTCCTTTTCGCACCCTGGCGCCTGGCCCCCGATGGCGTCGGAGGTCGTCGCACGAGCGCTGCCAGACCTCCTCCTTCTCCTCCTCCTCTGCCTCACCCTCCTCCTCCTCCTCCTCCTCCTCCTCCTCCTCCACCTCCTGCCCCTCCGCTTCCTCCTCTCGTCCTCCTTCCTCCTCCTCCTCCTCCTCCTCCTCCTCCTCCTTCCTCCTCCTCCTCCTCCTCCTCCCCCCCTTCTTCTTCCTTCTCCTCTCGCCCCGCATCTTTCCTCCTCGCCCCCTCCTCTTCTTCCTTCTCCTCTCGCCCCCCCACCTTTCCTCCTCGCCCCCCCCCCCCCACCAGGACGCGCGCGCGAGAGCTCCCGCGTGGCTGGTGCTCGACGCGGCTGGCCCACAGGCCCAGCCCTCGGCGGCCACTGGGCGGCCACTCGAGGAGGGTTGTGCAGGAAGGAAGGGAAGGAGGACGTGCCCCGCAGGCTCGGGTGGGCGGAGGGCATGGGGGGGGAGGAGGATGATGAGGATGAGGATGATGATGCTGATGATGGTGATGATGAGGATTCTGATGATGATGCTGGTGATGATGATGCTGCTGCTGATGACGATGCTGTCGATTATGATGATGCTGCTGCTGATGATCACGCTGCTGATGGTGATGATGAGGATGCTGCTGCTGCTGCTGATGACGACGATGATGATGCTGATAATGGGTGATGATGGTGATGCTGCTGTTGATGATGCTGCTGCTGATGATGATACTGCTGCTGATGATGATGATGATGCTGATGCTGCTGCTGCTGCTGCTGCTGCTGATGATGATGATGATGATGATGATGATGATGATGATGATGATGATGAGGATGAGGAAGGGGAGGAGGAGGAGGAGGAGGAGGAGGAGGAGGAGGAGGAGGAGGAGGAGGAGGAAGATGAGACGGAGGAGGAGGAAGTGGGACAGACGGGTGAGGAGGAGGTGGAGGATCAGGAAGCAGCCTCCTCCTCCTCCTCCTTCTCCTTCTCCTCCCCCTCAATCCCTTCTCCTCAGGGATCTTTTCCCCCTGCCGCACCCCGAGATGTGTCGGTAGGTTGGGCCGGGCGTTTCGCTTGGGAAGCACCCGCCATGTATGATCCGCAAGCTTAGAATTTGCAGGAGCTGCACTGAAGGATGGCGCGTGGTTTTCAAACTGGGGCTCTCCCCTGGGTGCCGATCACATTCGTCTTAACAAATTGTACACGTTTCACGGATGAGTGGCAGCTCCTTTTCAACATGTGGTTTTCTCTTATGCGCCACGCACGTTCGCCCCAACAGTTTGCAAGAGCTTCTTGGGTAAAGGGCGGGCGGTTTTCAACATGTGACTCTCGCTTCAGCGCTGTGCACATTCGTCTTCCAAGTTTGCAAGAGCTTCATGGATGGATGGCGGCTCTTTCTCTAGCGCCGCACACATTCGTCTTAAGAGCTTCGGTTCTTACAGTTTCGAGGATGTTTACCATTGACGTCGGACATGGTGTTCTGGCACCGTGTAGGACTGTCAGGGCGCAACAGGTACATTGATTCGCGGCGTTGAACTCGCATGAAGGGTGTTCTGGCACGGTTCAGGAGTGCCAGGACGCAAACATAATGTTATACCGTGGCGTTGAAGTCCCAAGTGCGAAGAACGGCCTTCTGGCACGGCTCACGATCCCATGGGGAACCTCCTTCAGTGAAAATGAATCCTTGTAGGGACCCATGAAGAGGGCATTCGGAAGGAGGGTTCATCGACACATTATAGATGAGCCGTGGGCTTACATTGGTCCTCCCACTCGTCCTCCCTCCTCGTCTCTTCTCCCTCCTCCCTCCTCCCTCCTCTCTTTTCCCCCGCCTCCTCATCATCTTCTTCCTCCTTACCCCCGCTATGGGGTGGGCGGGTGCAGAGAGGGGGTGCCGAGAGGGGGGGGGAAAAGAAGGGTGGGGGTGTGCAGGAGGAGAGGGCGTGGGATGGGAGGACACGCGTGGTGCGCAGGAGGAGGGGTCATGGGGGGGTGGGGTAGTGAGGAGGGAGAGGAGGCACGGGGGCAGGGGGCAGGAGGACGATCGGGGGGCAACGTCGACGATGACCATGACCGCGCCCGAGGCCGCCACGCACTCGGGCGTGCTGGGCGACGACGGCGACGACGACGCCGCCGCCGCCGCCGCCGACGACGACGACGACGACAACGCCGAGCCCTTGATCCCTCCTGGGGCACGCTCAGACCAGAACCTCGCGGAGGCCTGGCGCCTTGGGAGGCCAAGCGCGACCCCCCTGCGAGGCCCAAACTGGTCGAGCACCTTCCGCTGCCTGCTCTGCTTCCGCCGCCGGGGGCCGCCGAGTGATCCCCTGCGACCCCCCGGGGCCGCCCAGGGCCCCCGAGGGCCCCCGAGGGCCGCCGAGCGCCGCCGTGGGCCGCCGAGGTCGCCGCGCACCTGGGCGTTCTGGACGCGTGGCGGGCGCGCGCCGCCTGCCGCCGCTTCGCGGCCTTCTTCCAGCAGGCCCCTCGCGATGCCATCCGCCGGCCGGTCGGCCAGCCGACTTGCGATCCCTCGGCGGCCCTCGGCGGCCCTCGGCGGTCTCCGGTGGCCCTCGGCTTCGTCGCTGTCGTCGGCGTTGTCCTGGTGGTCCTTCGTCGTCGTCGTGCTTCCCTCCTCCATCCTCCTCCTCTTCCTCCTCCTCCTCCTCCTGCTCCTCCTCCTCCTTTTCCTCGTCCTCCTCCTCCTCCTCCTCCTCCTCTTCCTCCTCCTCCTCCTACTCCTCCTGTACAGCATCGCACGTGCACGGCGCGTGCCTGTAGCGAGTGTCAAGGAGGAGGAGGAGGAGCGCGCACAACAAGAGGGGGGACAGCGCAAATAATAGGAGACTGGGGACCAGACCATCATGACCCAAGATGCCCAAACAGCCCGTCTTCCCTCGGACAGGCGCGCACAATCAGCTGTATGCGCGCTCGCGCGTGTGCAGAGGCAACCTTCATGCCGTATTGTGTTTAGTAGAGGCCAGCGCCAGGTGCATTCAAAGCCCCCTCGGGGGGATGCGGACTCCTCTCCTGTGTCCTCTTTCT